TTTTTTTTAATGACGAGGACACCTGTCATCCATCTCTCAATGAGATTTCACCTGTCAAACATCCTGAATATAAGACTGCATAATTTTTCCGTCGGCTCCGCAGTGGAACGATCTGCAAATTCCGGCGACGCACTCCGGAACATCCCGTTCAGGCGCTGGGTTACTTGCTCCTTGCTCAAGATAGAATCTCGCCCCCGCTTGGCTCTGCCCCCCAAGTCGAAGGCGGCCTCGATGTGGCGAGCCGACACGACATCCACTGGAAGCACAATGACGAATGAATTCCTCAAAGGAACGAGGGACTTGGAAGTTCAAAAGCAACCGCCAAAGAGCAAGGCATGAAATGTAAAACACAAAGCAGGAAAAGGCCCGGATTCAACCCACTGCGACAGATGTTCTGTAGACTTTCAAGCTTCAGTGCGACTCTGTAGGCAGGCGGACGGATTTTATCGAAGTCCTCCAGCCCGGAAACTTGAAACAAACAAACAGTGCGTCGTGGAAAGAGTTCAACTGCCCGTTTGAACCATAAAAATAGACGACAAACTTTGATCCCAAAACTTTCATTTCAAAAACATCTTACAGTACCCTGAAAAATAAAAAGGCCTTGTCGATTATTTGATTGAGAAAGGAAGAGATGATGAAGACTCTCCCGTTACTTGCGCTAAACAACCTAGCTAATTTTAGCCTCGACTTCACAGCAGTGCCTTGTGATACGAGCGACTTATGAGTTTTTCAAGAGCCAAGCCGTCAACTCAACTCCACAACAAACCGCACCGCAGTCGGGCACAGAGTGAGCAATTCTTCAAAAAGAGGCTTCAAGATGTTTCTGGCCACTTCCAGTTGTATGCGTATTTAAATCAACAGCTTAGATTTTCCTTACATACGTCTACTTGGCGTAATGCTAACAAATACTGCGAAAACGCCCCAGACGGGCTCCCAAATGGCATCGTGTCACACTCTTATCGCCCTTGAAGCAACGCCTGTTTGAACACGAATGACGCAGCAACACATCAGCAGACGATATAACGATACTCGTATGCATATTTTATTTATCCTCCCAGAAGACAACTACCGGTACTTTTATCAGCATGGTTGCGTTATTTTTCTAATTAAAAAAACACTTTAGCAAAAAATATGTGTGTTGGTTTGTGGGAGGCTGAAATGGATTGTTGAGTCTTCCATTCATGCCAGCGGAGAAAGATGACTTGAGCTTGGATTGTTTGGTGTTGTCGTGGAATGAATTGAAATCGTATCTCAAGACACCACTGAGGCACTACTACTCCTCTGTGAATAAAACGGGATTGGGGAAACCAGAAAAACATAAATTAAAGAACTTACTGAGACTGGTGACATCCATGAAGGGGGTTTGTCTAAAAATGAAATAACAGTGTCACAAAAATGCTTCTGTTC